TGCTACTCAAGAAGAAGGCTTTAGGGGAGAGTTATTTATATCCCACAGGCATTACACATGCAAAAGGTGAAACTGAATCTCTGAATTTCCAGGAGTGGATGTTCTTATGATGAGCACATCCCTGCAGTTAGCTATTTTGGTGGCCTTATCTCACTGTCAGATTTTTGCAGGCAGGAGACTACATAATCATTCCATAATTTTAGAATGACCCTTGATGTTTCTCTTCAGTGGGACTTCATGACCTGAACTCCCTTGGGCTTTAGATTTACTACTACCTTGGATTTGTATTCATTTTTTTACTTTCAAACAGGTACAGCACTCAGCCATTAAAAAGTAATCAGGTGGCATGTTTATTGCTCTTTCATTTTCATATCGACTCCTGGAATTAGCAAAGAAAATGACCTTTTCTCTAGGAATTATTGCCCTGCTCCATTGCTGGTTCACCATCTCCAAAAATATCGACCATTCTCCAAATTGAAATATACATTAATCACTTCAGGAAATTGCTTCCTCCATTGGAAACTGATAGCTCTCATCGGAATGTTTCCAAAGCACAGCTGATGACAATTACGACTCACTGAAATTTCAGTTTTCTTTGATTGTGACATAAAAACTGAGACATAAATTAAAACCAAGAGACTGTGAGTCAGTGTGTCAGTATCACTGGAGTACAGTGTCTGTCCCTGAAACAGCCTTTTATATGAAATGGTGGTGAATGAGGTTATCTGTGCACCGAGCATGCCAAGAGAGCACATCAGAGTGGGTGACAGATTTGGAGAAATATAGTTAGCTCCTAGGACATCTTGGAACAGTTAAAGTATGCTAAAACTGCAGTGAAAAAGGGTTAAACAAAGTCCTGGACTTCACCTGTAATAGTGCCCAATGGTGGAACAAGGAACTTAGCACCAAGACTCCAGCCAGTATCTGGCTCTCCACACTTGGTGAAAGAGATTCTTTCTCATCTGGAAGACAGGTGAGATTAGTTCTTTTGTTTCATGCAATCTACATTATCAAAGTCCATAAGGTTTTCAGAAAGGGTGTGATCCACAAAAGCTGCAGAAAAGAAAAAGGTTTGTCATAAATCAAGTGCACAAGGAGAGCTTATTAAAGGAACCCATGGATTATTCTTAAATGCAGGGATTACCCACACATCTGCACATGTGGGTAATCCCTGCATTTCAGAATAATCCACCGGCCAGATGCAGTGGCTCATGCATGTAATCCCAGCACTTTGGGAGGTCAAGGCAGGCAGATCACCTGAGGTCGGGAGTTTGAGACCAGCCTGACCAACATGGAGAAACCACATCTCTACTAAAAATACAAAATTAGTCAGGTGTGGCAGTGCATGCCTGTAATTCCAGCTACTTGGGAGGCTGAGACAGGAGAATTGCTTGAACCTGGAAGGTGGAGGTTGTGGTGAGCCAAGATTGCACCATTGCCCTCCAGCCTGGGCAACAAGAGTGAAATTCCATCTCAATAATAATAATAATAATCATCATCATCATCATCCAGGGCCACCTACAGAGCCACCTCTTGATGATACCTCTTGGTATGCTCTTTAGGTCAAATCCCATCCACTGAAACTTCCCAACATGGTACCCCAAAGGCTCTCATGACACAATCTGACTCCCCCATTTTGGATTTTTTAAAAGGTTTTACTTCCCTGTCTTCCCAGAGAATGTGTCACTCCCTCTCATTGTGCACTGTTCATGTTTTTAAAAGCACATATGCCCATCACATAACTGTGAAGTTTTCCTCTTTGTCTCTGACATTCAGCTGAAAGCTCCTGAAGGGACCTGACCATATCTTATTCCTCTTTGTTTTCCTAGCTGGGCACATAGTAGAGCTCACAAAATGTTGCTGAACATAGTGCACCATTGACACAACGTAATTCCAGATTTCTAACTTTGATTTCTGAAAGGTAAACATTGCTACAAGGTATTACCCACCCAGAAGACTCAAACAAACCCAACCACCTTCCAAACAAAACAGGTTTGTTTGTTTTTTGTTAGGGCACTCACTTCAACAAACAAATTTCTGGCCCCAGGACAACATAAAGATCCACAGTAGGATTTCAAGCACACCTCTGTTTTCAGGGGCTGCATCAGTGCCCTGAGAGTCATGTGGGGAAAAAAAAAAATTCAAGGTCCAGGTAATTCCACCACTCCTGGGAAACCAAGCCTGGAGAGCTCTCTAGGGAAAAAGGTATGTCTACTCTGAGCTTCTACACTCTTATTTTATAATCCACTTTCTTATCTACTGCTTCACAAAACCAAAGAGAAATAGGTACAAACTGTACCAACAAAAGATCAGAACTGAATTCTCAGTGGCAAAGGCAAGAGTACATTATAAATAGCAAAACAGCTGGCTTGGACCATGCTGCCGGCCAGTCACCCAGTTGAGGGATTTGAATGACATCATAACCCTTGAAAGGGTATTGCTAGCCAGCTGGTGTTATTTAGAATATACAAAAATCAGAGAAATAAAACACACTCTGGCACACAGACTCCCTCTGTCTGTCTGTCTGTCTGTCTCTCTCTCTCTCTCTGTCACACACACACACACACACACACACACACACACACACACACACACACACAGAGAGAGAGAGAGGTTTGAATTATGCAGAAAATTCAAACTATAGGAAAATTGTTTTCCCCCCATGTACCCTTCTCTCAGAGTGGTGGAGTGGGGAGGGGACAGTGACTGGCAGCCTAGTAGAAGAATAAAGAAAAATATTCTATTTCAGTTGGTTTTATAGTTCGGCATAGTCTTTGCCTCATCGCAGGAGAAAAAGCATGAGATAGTGTCCTAAAGGGACGAATTTCTTGCTGCCTGCCCCTGCATAGTTTCTAGGAAATGAGATCACTCCCCTCACTTGGCAACTAGGACAAGGGGTCACCTGAGTGCTGTCTTCCAATCTACTTTACCCATCACTTCAAGGTTAAAATTGTAGAGTTTGCTGGACAGGGTCTTTTAATCCTTTCTTGCTTTTTTTGTTTTAAATTTTGCATTTGCTCTAGAATGTAAAATTGCTCACCCATCCCCCATGTATATCCCTTTAATACTGGTAGGGTGTATTAGCAGACATGTGTGTGTCTTCATGCCCAGCAGAAAGTTAATCAGAAAACAGATCCTTATTTTCTATGGCAGCATAAGTATTTTAATGTCTGCTAACCCTGTCACTAACACACATTCTTTTAAGGGAGAAAAATGCTTCTGTGCTCTAGTTTTAAAATGCAAAGGTATGATGTTATTTGTCACCATGCCCAAAAAAGTCCTTACTCGATAACTTTGCCAGAAGAGGGAGAGAGAGAGAAGGCAAATGTTCCCCCAGCTGTTTCCTGTCTACAGTGTCTGTGTTTTGTAGATAAATGTGAGGATTTTCTCTAAATCCCTCTTCTGTTTGCTAAATCTCACTGTCACTGCTAAATTCAGAGCAGATAGAGCCTGCGCAATGGAATAAAGTCCTCAAAATTGAAATGTGACATTGCTCTCAACATCTCCCATCTCTCTGGATTTCTTTTTGCTTCATTATTCCTGCTAACCAATTCATTTTCAGACTTTGTACTTCAGAAGCAATGGGAAAAATCAGCAGTCTTCCAACCCAATTATTTAAGTGCTGCTTTTGTGATTTCTTGAAGGTAAATATTTCTTACTCTTTGAAGTCATTGGGGAATTTTATTTAAATTGTGTATTGTTTGCTTCTGCCTAGAACTGTTATTCACTTTAAAATTTTCATTGTTTTGGAACTGAGAGTTATTTATAAATTGCTGAATACGCAATTCTGTGGAATCTGAAAAATAGCTCGGGGAGATGGATGCATTTGCACAGATATCTGTATGAGTAGAAACTATTGCAAGGTACTTATGCTAAATCCTCCACTTCTGCAGAGCTTCCATGGTGTCATTATAGAAGATTCCTTTAAATCCTGTCTATGGCTAAGGGCTATATAGCGTGGATATTAACTTGGGGATTTTTTTTTTCTTTTGCAGGTGCAGATGTTTTATTTTTAAGACCATGCTTGTGTGCATGTGTGTGTGATGTGTGTGTGTGTCTGTGTGTGTGTGTGTGTGTGTGTGTAACTCATCAGGACTTTATTTACAAGGCATGCCATATATGAAGGATTATATTTTAGATGATATTAAGGCTTTTAAATGTGATCTTTGGAGCGAAGGTCTCGGAACTCTGCACTTACGCCCACAGAGTTAAAGTGTAATTTGTTCTTCAAGGGAGGAACTCCTTGACAACTCTTGCTGACCCTTTACATTTGTATAATTTAAACAAACACATACCGTATATAGAAAGCAGAAACTTTCTAACAGCTGCTTTCCCAACCTTTCTGTTCAGAAGAGGACTTTCATGGGCAAAGTTTGGACTTGGGGTTTTGTGTTGTAAAACTCTGATTTTATATTCAGTGTCATGAAGTCCCTTTAGGTAAATCTGGCTGCCGTTGTCAGGGCACCGACTTCTCATTTCCGATTGCTGGCCGTAGTTCTAGTTTCCATTCTCAGCAATATTATATCCCTCACGACTTGGGTATTTTCAATTTGCAAGGGCTTTTAAGCTGCTGTCACTGGCTCCACTGATGCAATTGCCTGAGGGCTCAATTCATAAGATCCCTCTGCCACTTAGTGCAGCACTCACCCGCTGCTTTCAAACACTTCACCACTAGGACTTTCCCTAGTCAAGTAAGTGGCTCCGGGAGTTAAAGGTACACCCTTGTCAGGCACCTGATTCTGCTGTTCCTGAGATGCCAACACAGGCAGGCCACCTTGCTTTCAAAGAAATGACGTCACCACTATGCATACATACTATGTGATCTAGCACCTGGAGTTTTTGTCTCCCTACTTAGGGGATCATAAAAGAGGCTGTTTAATGTTATCTCTGCGTTAATTACAAGTTAAAAAAAATTGTCTCCAAATGCACTTTTCATGCGCTGTATGCTGAACGTTTCAGGAGTGGAGCTTGTAATAAGTTGTTACTTTTTTCAGTACTTGAGGCAGAAAGTGGTTTGAAGGAGCTGCTTGGTCTTTCATAGGTAATTCAGTGAGTAAAGTTGTCCTGTCCAGAGGCAGAACTCACAAACTGATTGTACTGAGTTTCAAGGTATTTCCAAGAGAATGAGTCGGGGGAAGGGAGTTAGGGAGTAGACTGGAGCTTGGGTCACTATCTGGGCGGCTACAACAGGCATACAATGAAAATAGGTGGCTAGACTGGGGTAAAAAGATTAACTTAAATCCCAGCTGTGCAATTTGTTCATTGTTTGAATGGACAAAAGGCAGTTTGCCCAGCTGCATAGCATACCTGCCTGGGTGTCCAAATGTAATTAGATGCTTTCACAAACCCCACCCACAAAGCAGCACATGGTTTTAAGACCTCAGTTTTCTATTCACATCGGTCTCATAATACCCACCCTGACCTGCTGTAAAAGACCTGGAACAAGCAGAAGTGATTACACCTACAGTGAGTATTTTCTTATGACTATTGCCCTCAAATTTTATAGGCATTTTCATTGTAGTCTAGGCATCTGGAATCAATTAATATTCCATTTATTTAAGATTAAAAAAAGAGAAAGGGCTTTCAAAATTTGGGTTTGTGCATGATTTTTGAGAAAATGTTTTCTTTTTTTCTCGTCTTTCTGATTCTTCCCTTTTTTTCTATCATATCTTTCCTTTCTCTCCATGTATTTCTTTTGTGTTTGGCAAAATAAAAGGCCAAGGAAATAATGAACATATGGGGCCACTTGTTTCACACTTTTAACTCCTAAGCAAGTTCGGTTTTGTTTTCCTTTGTGGGAACATAATGTGATAAAATCTCTGGTTCTCTGTGGGTATACTGGACTATTACCTAAAGTCAAGGAAAATGCAGCAGAGGTTCTGTCTTGTACTAGAACTGTAAGTACTGAGATTTATCTGACAATATAGCTCAGCAAAAAAAAAAAAAAAAAAGAAAGAAAGAAAAAGGAAAACCTCTTTTAAAACTCTAAAATTCTTAAGTTCTAGAGATTTATATGTATTGCTGCACTTAAACGTGTTGTACTAGAACTATTAAAAATACAGTTTTGACATCTAATGAAGTTTGAAATTCACTGAGGCTATAACTTGAGTAATTTTTTTCTCTGGCTTTCACAAAAACTGAAGAATCTGAAGGCATCTACAGTTGCAGGTGCTTAGCCTTCAGCATTGCTATAAACTCAACAAAGAAGGGTGGGGTGGAGAAATAGAATTTGGTAGAATAACACACTTTCTAGAACTGGCCCATTCCTACAGTGTGGGGATATGCTCTGTAAGATCAATCACAGGTTTGTTCTTTTGAAAAAGGCCATGAGGTCCAGTTGGGCTGGATTTGTTGAGGTTTCTACTGGAAATATTGAACAGGAAAACCCCCGTTACTTATTTTATAACTAAAAAAAAAAAATTAAGAACCGAATGATAACTTGCTTCTACCAGTCCCGGGCTATGTAGAGGGTAAAAGATTTCCATGAAGAGATCCTGTTGAGAAAAATGCAATAAATGTTCTGTTGAGCTTTTCCCTCCTCTTCTATTTTATGTCCATTATTTATAATGATTTACAAATAGAGGGCGCTTTTCATCTTCAAATGTTTTATAAGAATTAACTAAATATTTGCATTGTGTTAATGAGAGACAGGAGTTTGGGTTCTTTGCTTTTTTTTTTTTTTTTTTCCAATTGCTGAGCTGAAGGTCTGACTACAAAAATGGAAATCTTCATTAGAATGATGGGGGAAATTTTGCCACCGGTAGAGCCATTTAATTAAGCATCCATGGAGGGCAAGGAGGGTGGTCAGAAAATAAATGACTGAGTCTGTTTCTCCAAAAATGATGGATTTGAATGCACCTACCACTACTATGAGGTTCATAAAAGCCTCCTTTTATAATGATAATTTCCAGCGTAACTCCACAACCCTTTTAACAGGGCCCCTCACCTAACACCCCGTCAGTGACTCTTCCCATGATGCTGAAAGTAGATGCATCTGAGAGAAGTGGAGCCACTCACATTGGGAGGTTTCTTGGAAGAAGCTACCACATCTTTGTGCCATAAGTAACAATATGGGAAAACTTAATGATCACCTTAGCATAGCTTCTACTACTTAGAGTGAGGATAGAGACGAGCCACAGGACAGCTGCTTTTGGCAAGGCTGCCACTTGGCTATCTGCCATTGACTAAGTCATGCCAACCAGGGTCCCCTTGGCATATTTTTCTATAAAATAGATACAGTGACACATAAGTCCCTCCAAGAGATGAAGCCAGAATTCCTGTGACTAAAAATAAAAGATTTTTGCAGGTTTGAGCCCAGTGCCCTATACACAGAAGGGATTCTCAACACATGTTGATTTGATATTGGACTTGAGGCAAGGGGTTTTAGAATGCAAAAGAAGTGGCTTCTCCTTGAGCCAATTTCATTCTTCGGTTCTCATATTTTTTTCTGTTTCTGTTATTTTTCTTCTATTTGTGGTTATGTCAACCACTGATACTCCCCAGGTTAGGAATCAGTGTGTGTGTGTGTGTGTGTGTGTGTGTGTCTCTTTCTCTCTCTCTCTCTCTCTCTTTCTCTCTGACTCTCTCTGTCTCTGTCTCTTTCTTATGTTAAGAGAAAAAAAAACCTTTGATAATATATAGTATTGTCAAAAGCCTTTTTTGGCCATAGCAAATTCTTTTTAGTCAAAAATAGGGAATGATGTTTGGTTAAAAATATTCTGGTCAATAATGAATGCATATACCATCTGTGGATGGCCAATATTGAGAGACTTCAAATTAACAAAATTTATTTGGTTCCAAATATGTACTGGGCACAATTTAACCTTTGATAATTCAAAAGTTCTACCAGGGTCTCAGAATGGTATGGGATCTCACTGTAATAATAGCATCTTTCATTTCCATAGTAAATGTTTCTAGATATTTTATCTCAATTCATTGAAATAGGAACCTATAAAGAAGGGGTTCAGAGAGAATTTCTCCAAGGATCCACAGTAGTCAGGGGAATAAACACAGGTTACTGGATGTCAAGACATGCTACATTCACGACTCCCACTGGGTTCCCATGTTCTCTATTGCACCTCTGTGCCAGGTAGTCCTGATTAATGACAGTCATAGAATCATGGGAGTTAATGCACTTCTGTCCCACTCCACTTCCCTTGCAAGGACCAAGGAAGAAACCTGACCATCCTTCTGTTTCTTGGGCAGGTGAAGATGCACACCATGTCCTCCTCGCATCTCTTCTACCTGGCTCTGTGCCTGCTCACCTTCACCAGCTCTGCCACAGCTGGACCGGAGACGCTCTGTGGGGCTGAGCTGGTGGATGCTCTCCAGTTCGTGTGTGGAGAAAGGGGCTTTTATTTCAGTAAGTATCCCTCCCTCTCACTGTGCTGCTCAAGTCTAAAGTGTACAGCTCTGTGGATTTACAACCGCAGGGAGTGTGTGAATAACTGAATGACTGCCCGTGTCTGGCAGCCATCCTAGATCTCTAGGATTCCTCACCTTAAAGTAAGCATAGTGTTTCAGTGGGGCTTTGGCAGGTTTTGCAGATCTACGATGGAATTTTCCTCCTTAACAATTAGTCTTTAACTACTTCCTCCTAAGCCTTCTTTCAGCTATTACAATCTACGCTCACTGTTCCATTCCTTTCAATGAAAGGATAGGACAAAATAACCCTGAGGTATTGATGTTTTTGTTTTCAAAATCTATGGGTGCACATATAAACATATGGAACCCATGTGGGGCTGCTTTAAGTGCTATGTGATTTGGAGTAAAATAGTAAGAACTCTCCAGTCATGTGGATCTGGAAAAAAATATTAAAGGGCATATCCTAGATGTCTCCATTCAATATGAAATCACCACGAACAGACAGAAGGTGAACTCCACTTAAAGGCATGTTTGCAAGCTCGTAGACTATCTCTAAATGCAAGCTGAAATGCCATACTGATTTGCCCTCTTTGCCAATCGACCTTGATTTTTTCTTATTGCTCTCTATTGGCATATTTCTTCTCTGGGACCCTTCAGTGATATCACCATCTGGAAAAGGATCTCTGACAAGTACAGGGTCACTTATCTCAGAGTCACTTATCTCTTAGGTGATTAGAAAGTCAACAGCCATTAAAAGGTAGACAGCCAAGTCAAGTTGTGTAAATAATAAGCACAAGCAAAAGTCAGTGATACCTATGGAAACTGCTCACTTAAAGAATCTAGCTTCCATGCATTTAACTCACTGTATATTATAGGACAGTGAAAGATTTAAAGCCAGATGCTCATTCTGTATAATCCTTTGGAGTTTTAGAGAGTTCCAGGAAACTGAGCATGAATCATTCTTAAAGGTTCATATCACTCCAATGTAGACAGCTTACCTCAGTTACCCACTGTGCTCTGAATAGCTTCTGTGATGACTCACACACTTGAAGTCTCTCTCATCTTCTTCCCAAATGTCAGCCTCTCTCTAGGCTGGTGGGGTATGTATGTGTATAACTGGCAGGATAGAGGGTGGCCTGTGTGTACAGATCTGGAGATAAGTAAGGGAGATGGGAAGAAAGAGGCTGGTGAGGGGATTGGTGACCAGTACTTTCAGTGGATTCGTCAACAAATAGTTTTTAAATCACTAGTGACAAAGAATCTCAAGTTCCTTCTACTATTGAATAGGCAAATTCCCACTATTTGCTCATAGTCAATGCTTTAATTGAGTAAATTCATTTATTTTCCTGGCAATAAAGCAATTCCATCCAGTTCTCTGTTGCAGAGGAGATGAATGAATGTATTGGGTGAGTGATTTTCCAATAGCAGACTTGTTTTACCTTTAAAATATCCTGTGGAAGATAACGGTGGGACCTCACATGATCCAACAGTGGGTCATAATTATTCTATAATTTGAAGCTACTGATCCACATTTTTTTTAAAATGAAAAAGTGGTTCTCACTTATTATGCCCAAGAGGACTTTTTTTTTTTGCCTTGATAATCCATTTCTGCAACTTCCTTTGATCCAGTTCACTAAGTAATTGCCAAGTCTAGAAGTGTCCTTTGTTATGTGCCAGACTGAATTGTGGCATTCGACATGACATGCTCCAGAATTTCCATGCACAGTGTGTGAAAACTGGATCCTTCTATGCCTATGATGCTTGCATTAAATGATGAAAAATGAGAATGGAAAAAATGATTGTTCCTAAGTAACTGTATGATATTTATATGTGTTTGCACAGATATTTAAGAATATTGGACAATTAAAATGGAAACCAATGTCCAGGTTCTCTTATTCTGTGACTGCAACAATCAAATTTCAGCAAGCTTTTAAAAATTGTGTCTGAATAACTTGAAAAGTTATATATAGCAACTCTTGATGTTTACTGTATGACTCTAGCTAGAAAGTGGTTCTGTAAATCATATGTTGTTGTCAGTATTGTCATTGAAATATGTGTGTCATGTGCTTTTCCTTATAAAATTCTGTGACTTACGTGAATCTGACATACCCTCCTGCACAAGTGTCCAACATAACTTCATGCACAAAAGTATTCTCATTAACATTCTAGTCAATTGGACAATCTTATTTGCCCAAAAGAAGTTAGTCTATTTAGATTATTTTAATTTAATTTAAAACACTGATGGAGGATCTGTTATGTGTAAGCATTGGACAAGGCATGAATGAGATGCCTAGAAATGAATGAGAGATTGACCTTGACTTCAAGGGGCTTAGTTGAGTGGTAAAAGAAAAATACACTAAGTTATTGTCATAAGAGGAAAATAACCATGGAGAATAGATTATATCCTTTATGTTTTTCCTGAGTATTTTGTCCCATTTGCGGTCTCACCTTACAAGGGTCTACCCTTCCAAGAATAATACCCTGTCAGTGGGCTCCTTGAGGCCAAAGGACATATTTATTTACCTTTGAATCCAAGCGTCTATCTCATTGCCTGGATGCTATATTAGCTGCCCATATTTGATTGTTGGACAGGATTGAATTGAAGTGAATCCAGTTGAATTCAATTGAATTGAATGGAATTACTTGTTTGGGATCTTAGTCTTAAGAACCATCAGGGTTGTCAAGTACTGTGGACAATACTTCTCATCTCATGGTTATCCAGTTATTTAATAAAACTGCTTTTCTTTCGTTGAACTGAAAAAAATATATACTAACAATGACTTAGAAGCTGCTGCAGTTTGGTCATCCCCAAGCTACATTGATATTTGTTTTGTGTCTGAGCCAATTATTTTTATAGGCATTAACTGTTGTCAACAAATTTCACTTAGTTTCCTTTTCATCCCCTGAGATGTACTGTGTATGGAGAAGTCAGCCCTGAGCATATACAGTCTTTGAAATATGTTTTAGAGGAAAGCATTCTTCCCCACCTCTATACACTGTCAGTTGACTCTCATTATTCTCGTTATGCTTATTTTCAAAGTTTTATTGTGGCTGTGCCTTTTATTTTAAACTGCTTCAAATCCATTTTGGAAGTACAATTTTTTTAGTAGTAGAAGGCAGCTTCTAATTTCAGTTTGAAATTCAAACATCTAAGAGAAAATTGCCTCCATATCTATCATTTTTGTCAATCACAATATTTAACAAGGAGAGTTTTTTAACTCTATTAGAAATGTTCTGAATAAAATGTTTTGTAATGCTTACTGTGTGTCGATTTACCCCATGTTGTGAATGAGCTCATATTTCCCTTCAAGCCCAAGTTCCACTATAGCACAGGGGAAGCAGCCTTCTAGATTATCTGTTTGTGAATATTATCCCATCATAAATGGAACAGTTCATGTATAATTAAAGCAGCTTCCCCAGACATTTTATGAAATGAAAGATCCAATGAAGAGCTAATTACTGATTCTTCCCTATGCATCATAGGGAAGATAGGAGAGCCCATCAGCCAGCCTTGTGTTCTTGTAGTCCTGTGAGAAAAATGGTAGCATAATGGAGATGAAAGCACATTTGGAAGGAGCTAGCTATTTTCTTACTAGATTGATGGACCCCGTATGAAGGGTGGCTCATAACAACCTCATTTTTGTGTGAAAAACACCAAGAGAAAAAGAGCTTCAAATGAAAAAGAAGTGAAGCTTACAATAGATATAATTTTTGACAGCCATGGTGATTAACCATTTTAACATGCTGCTATGGGCCTGTGGAATTTCTCTCCTTGGAGATTCTTAAAAAATTGACAGAAAACCAACCATCTTGAATGGTTTCAATTAAGAGCAACTGAAAGAAAGAGAGTTTCTGTGGTCTTTTTTAGTTTTAAGAGTCTATAAACAGTCCCTTAAATAAACTGTATATGCTTTACCTTGGTGGTCTGGGGAAAAGGAGAAGTAAATCAATTAGAAAAGAAAGTTGGATATTCTTGCAACTATTCAGGATTTATAGCTTTTGTAAAACATATTTCCAATGTATAGTTATTAAGAATAGGTCTGAATAAACGAATGGCACTCTTCATGTGTTAAAACAGACTCTTTTGTAAGGACTTTAAGTGAAACTTTACAATGAACTTTCATCATTATTGATTGCAACAACCTTCTTAGATCTAGGTTATTATTATTAAGTTAAGCTTGTTTCCTTTGATATATACTGCCCAGAAAACTGCTCCCAGACCTGTCATTCATTAGCTGTAGGACTTAGGCAGGCATTTAAATTTCCTGGGGCTAGATGTTCTTGTTCATAAAACAAGGGAATTTTATTAAAGTAAATGACCTCTTCTAACTTTAACAGACTCATAGTCTAGGTTGTAATTAACAAAGCTCTGGTGCTATTTAAGAAAGAAGAACCTTGGATTTAAGTAGTGACCAAAGAACATTTAGTCTCTTGTATCTTATTTACGTAGTTTCTGTTGGTCCCAAGAGATAGGAGATTCCACCCACTTAAAGTAAGAGGAACCAGATTCTTTGTTTTGCATTAAGCCGATTGCAACCCCTCGGGGATGGAATAGAAGCTCAGATATGACCAATAACATGTGGGTCTTTTGGACCAAGGAGCCAAAGAAGCACACGCCTCATGAAAACAAAGTCTCATTTTTCTTTGTTAGGATAGACCCACTGACAGTTTCTATCTTTACATTCTCTCACTCTCCTGGCTTTGAGGTCAAGTGAGTACATTCATTTTTAGATGCACTTTATTAAATTAGAGGCGACAAATAAGAATCTATAGGTTTCTAAACCTCTTCCCAACCTATTATCTTTTCAATTAAAGAAGAGAGTGTAAATTGGGGCATTTGACATCACACTAATCCATTGTTAGCATTGTTTTGAGTGGGGCTGGGTTTGAGCTGCACCATTTTCACTCCTTTGATTGGTATTCCTTAGACTGCTTGCTGTGCATCTGTGTAACAGCTGGTCAAAGTTAGGAATACAGTCACTAGCTGTGGAAAAGTTT